TATATATATATATATATATACACACACACACACACATATATATATATATATATATATATATACACACACACACACATACACACACATAAACAAGCTATATAAATAAGCATTTTAGGCACAAAAAGGAAGATTATTTTTATTTTAACAGACAAAACGGTCCACCATGCGTCTCTAAATGTGCAGGTGTTTTGCAAGATTTAATGTCCGCCAGGCAAAAATTGCTTTTCAAATCGTTTAGAAGTAATAGCACACCTCTTTTCAACAAGCTATATAATTTGAGTTATCATTAACGTGACAACGAAAGAACCACATAGCAACCAAATAACAATGCACTAACAACAGCCTAGCATTATGTCAGCGAGTTTTGCACGGGCAAGTATATTCGCATTTCCTTCACAAAATGTAAGAATCTATTTTCATGACTGAATAAAAAGCCATTTTCCTTACTTAACTGCTAGAGAACTGACATGATGCCAACATTGAGCATATTATTAGCATAAGTCCATACGTGTCTTTATTTGCTTAGCAGCAGTTTTATTGAGTAGTCACAGACTTGACAAGACGTGAAACAGATATCGAGCTCCGAACACTGATTGAGCAACCTTTGGGCACATGGCCTTCTGTTATGAAACACGCATTTATAGCTTGTTTAATAGCGTCAGTGCTTTGTCTGATACGTCATTACAGCTCTCTCCTGACCTCAGTGATGCCGCTCGCTCTGGTGCATGAAGGAAACAGATGTTTGCAAGCGGCCAATGCGTTCAGGGATAGCCGGTTGCATGTGTGATGCTGAAGTGGACAGTCTGAGCTAGCGGTTCTGGCTGTGACAGGTGTTCCCGCAGGTGTGTGAATCGCTCAGCTTGAAGTATTTATTCACTGAGACTGCGCTTTGGGGTTCGCTAATGCATCCTCCGTTTTACATGGAAGATTAATGGGCAGGGCTGAGTAAATCAAAGTTCGAATCACAGCGATCTTTGAAGTTAACCACAGAACTGCGGTAGGACTACTGTTGCTTGCTCCAAACTCTGTTTGCCAATTAAAACCAAGCGCTTTTAAGCCAATTCAATTTCTATAGGTGTAACAAATCTAGCACTTTTTTCAATAGAATATTTACACTCACACTTAGATCTATAGAAACAATGCAAAATAAGAATTGAACATGCCTGTCAAAGCTGTCGCTGTTTTTAATGAAGTCATCGAGTCTTTCTTTTGCATATTCCACCACATCCTTGTGTAGCTCAACGCCATGATTTACTCCAAACGGACCTGCAAATAATGTTAAATAAGAATCACTGGTATTATTCTATACATTTTTTATTAATTAAAATATACAGTTTAATTATTATCAGTCACATACCATGACATTTCATTGAAATATGAATATTTCCAGACAAAAGTTAAATATTCTGAATTTTAAAAAATGCACAAAACCTGCCAGTGTGCTACTAAGCAGTATCTTGCATAGCTTTTTTATGGGAATTAATACTTTTATTAAGTGAGGATGCATTCAATTAGCCAACACTGACAGTAAAGACACTTAGAATGTTACAAAAGATTTCTATTTCAAATAGATGCTGTTCAATTGAACTTTATCAAAGAATCATAAAAAATATGAATCAGTACAAATGTTTTCAACATTGATAATAATAAATGTTTCTTGAGCAGCAAATCAGCTTTTTTAGAAAATAGAGTAATGATGCTGAAAATTCAGCTTTGCATCACAGGAATAAATTACATTTCAAAATCTATTACAATAGTAAAAAATCATTTCACATTGTAATAATATTTTACGCTATTAGTGTTAACTGTATTTTTTATCAAATAAATACAGCCTTGGTGAGACTTTTACTAATAAATAAATAAAAAAAACAAACAAAAAAATCTAACTGACCCTAAACTTGTAGATTAATGTACAGTATTATGTAGGTTTTTAAAATGCTTTTATGTTTATCCAACTAAAAATCATAAATCTAATAACTTATAAAAGTAATATTACATTCTCTACTCAACAAGTTGCATGATTTGAGTCATTCAAGTCTGTAGCACCAACATTTATGATTTTTAAATCCCTAAAATTGAGCAATAATAAGAATAACAGTGATGCAAATAAAAGATTTATTAACTAAATATAATTCAAAAGTGAATTTACTATTAGGCACAATCTTCAAACAAATAAAAGTAAAAAAAAAAAAGTAAAAAAAAAAAAACACTTCCTCTGGTCTCAGTTGGCAAAGAGGCTGACGGAAAAAAAGTAAATAAAATGAAATGTAAAACTCTGATTGGTCCTAAAATAGTCTTTATCATTGTGTGCAAGTTTATAATTTCTTCTTCTAATACTTTTTCTTTTTCTTTTGAATACTACTACTATATTTTAATTTAATATTGCAGAAAGTAGGGAAGTCGTGGCCTAATGGTTAGAGAGGCGGACTCGTAACCCAAAGGTTGTGGGTTTGAGTCTCGTACCGGCAGGGATTGTAGGTGGGGGGAGTGAATGTACAGCGCTCTCTCCCACCTTCAATACCACGACTGAGGTGCCCTTGAGCAAGGCACCGAACCCCCAACTGCTCCCCGGGCGCCGCAGCATAAATGGCTGCCCACTGCTCCGGGTGTGTGTTCACGGTGTGTGTGTTCACTGCTGTGTGTGTGCACTTTGGATGGGTTAAATGCAGAGCACTAATTCTGAGTATGGGTCACCATACTTGGCCACATGTCACGTCACGTATTATTATATTTTTGATCTATTTATTAAAATAGATTAAACAATAAATAAATTCTACACTCTTAAAAATAAAGGTGCTTCACGATGCCATAGAAGAACCTTTTTGTCTAAATGGTTCCATAAAGAACCTTAACATCTGAAGAACCTTTCTGTTTCACAAAAGGTTCCTTGTGGCAAAAGAAGGTTCTTCAGATTATAAAAAGGTAAGAAAAATATGGTTCTTTGACTGAATGGTTCTTTGTGGAACCAAAAATGGTTCTTCCATGGCATTGCTGTGAAGTAAATCTCATTATCGGCTGTTTCCTTTATTGTCTTGATATTCTAGATATGTCATTAGAGTGCTTCTCACCTATGATCAGGCCCACCATGGTGCTCAGGTATCCCGTGCCGCTGCCGAGGTTCAGGAAAGACAAATCCTGCTGGAGTTTCAGGGCTTCCATCACCTCAGAGTAGATACACGGTGCTGACAGGTGTATATTCCCATGCTTCCACGCCAGATCCTTGTAGGCATTGTCTCTGTAGCCGTCCAGGTAATAATCTCCACGGTCTATGGCCCTAAAGGCCTGCTCCACGCGGTCTGTGCGGATGTACTGCGCTTCCTTCAGGTTGTCTATCAAATCGTCGTTGTCCTCGCCAGCGCTGACTGCTCCCCCCATGATCCCCTCCGAGAAACGAAACAAACCAAAAAAAAAAAGAAAAAATGCAGAGGAGGTGAGAGACGGATAACTAGACCGGTCCTCACATCCAGATGAATGCACTGGAGCGATTCTCCACAGGGATGCCCAGTCGTGATGCCTGCGTCCCACACAAATCACCTCAGACCATTCTCAGCTACGCCAAGATCTGAGGATTGAAAAACAAAAGGTGACGGTTTAGATCTCTCTCTCTCACACACACACACACACACATTTCAGTTTACCCTTCTCTCCTGAAAACAAGAGCCATGCCACCTGATACCTGCCGGCTTTGATTCCTCAGCTAGGTGTCGCATGTACCTGATGTTACCTGCCTGATGCAAGCTGCTTTAATATTGCAGAAAGTTTGAAGTCTTATTGTACGTCACGGATGATAATAAAATAAACAAATGCCAAAACAATCAATTAGACAAAGCACTGGCGCGACATAAATAATCTTTTCAACCTTTTTCGACAATCTTTATTATATTCTATGAAATTTTTTTAACTCATTTTTTTATTCCTACAAATACACACACACACAATATATATATATATATATATAAAATTCAATATAAGTACACCATCAGTTCAAAAAAAGCATTATATTGATCAAAAGTGACAGTAAGTAAAGCCATTTATAATGTTACAAAAGATTTCTATTTCAAATAATATTCTATTTCTTCTTTTTAACACCTACTCAAAGAATCCTGAGAAAAATATATCAGTTTCCAAAAAAAGCACAACTGTTTTAAACATTAATTATAATAATGTTAATAACAATAATATTTTCTGAGCAGCAATTCAGCATATTAGAATGTTTTCTGAAGTACCATGTGTCACTGATGACTGAAGAAAAATTCAGCTTTGCTGTCACAGAATTAAATTACATCTTTAGATGAATTTAAAGGGGTGGTTCACTGTTTTTTTTCTAGGCTTGATTGTGTTTATGGGGGGGGGCAGTCTAACATGTGTTAATGCTTAGTTTTAAAAAAACTTTAAAAAAAAAACTTTTTTTGGTGAAATTTTTCACAGTTTACCTTTATTCCACACCGCTCTGTCCGTTCTCTGAGAAACGGGCTGATCTTTTCCTGTTTTTAAGAAGCCCCGCCCTCAGAAATAGTCGATGGGCTCTGATTGGTTAGCTAGCCCAGCGTGTTATGATTGGCTAAACCACCTCTGGTGCGTGTCTAAACATCCCGCCCCTCACCAGCGGGATGTGCTCCGGTTGTATTGTAAACAACGGCTTCGTTAATATCGCTTATCAGTTTGAGCCAGATTGAGAAGCAGAGGATATTACTGAAGAGGATCGTGCAGAACCTGTGCAAGCACGGCTTTTAATGGTAGGCCTATGTTTCTTGTCGTCTCATTCTTCTAGATATGCTGTTATGTGTAAATGCTACTGCTTATGTTAGATTTTAATATACAGTTTTATCCTGATTAAAGCTTTAAGAGAGAGAGAGAGAGAGAGAGAGAGCAAAAAGAGAGAGAGAAAAGAGAGAGAGAAAGATGCAGAGCATGTGTAGAGCAGGGGAACGTGAGGAACAGTATTAAGAACCGCTGCTTTAGAACATTGATTTTGAAACTTGTGAATCCATTAGAATCG